CGCCAGTCAGCAGTGTGTGAAACACAGCAGTTAAACAGAAGAAAGGGCACGGACTTACCAGACACTCAGCACAGCGGACGCAGAGCCGCCCCACACAGTCAGCTCCTTCCTCCTGGTCAGTGCTGTCAAGAGAGGGCAGGCCGAGAATGAATAATCACTAATTACGAGCCAGGTGTTGAAATCAGACAGGTCTGGTTTCAAATTCCAGTTCTGCCACTTCTTAGCTGGGAGGCTCTAGACAAGAGACTTATGCTCCCAACGCCTGTTTCTTCATCTGTAAAACGCAGGTGTTCCCCACCCACTCTGAAGGATGGTCGTTAGGAGTAAATTAAAAAAATAATAATACAGGTGAAGCATGTACCAGATAGCCTGGAACACAGTAAACCTTCTATAAACAGGAGGTAGTCACAATCATTCATTCAGAAATGTACTGCGCACCCGGCAGGCCCAACACTCGAGAGAAACATAAAGCATGGCCTTTCAGAGAACTCACAAGCTCATGGGGACGAGAGGCCTATCCAAACTGAATGGTACATTATAATGCAATGTGATAGGTGTTTTTAGTAGCGTTAAGGCCATGCTCCTGGGCAGCCAAAAGGAGGGAGGGGCTGATTCTGCTGGGAGGACTCAGGGAGCACCAAGAGCAGGGGGCGTTTCAGCTGGGTCTGGAAGACACAAAGGAGTTTGCCAGGCAAACTTGGGAGGAAGGGCATTCCAGGGTTAGACAAAAGAATGTGGGGCGAAAGGGAGCTATAAATGGCGGGGTGGAGAAAGCGAGGAAGCTCCCGCTGTAGTCGGGAGTGTGGAGGCATTGAGAAGCAGCAGTCAAACAATAACGTGAAGGAAGATGCAGCCTCACGCCACCCTCTCTGACTTCAGGCTGCCCCCGCTTCCTTGTGGGGCATGCTGCTCGGAAACAGACATTAACTTTTCTCCAAGAACTCTTCCCCTTTGGGGGACCTTTGATAAGGACCCCTTCTCACCTAGTCATAAGTGCAGATTCGCACATACGCAAAGGAAGGACGAACGCTTTGGGCTCTCGAGGTAAGAGCCGTCTCCCCAGGTGAAGAACCTCTGGTAGAGACAACGAAGAGCCAACAGGGTTCGTAGGGAGATTTTTGCTATCTTTTTTTTGTCCCCCTCCCCACCTCTTTAGTACAACAGTTCTCAACCTGCGGGCCGCGACCCCTTTGGGGGTTTAACAACCCTTTCACAGGGGTTCACAGTAGCAAGATTACAGTTATGAAGTAGCAATGAAAATAATTTTATGGTTGGGGGTCTCCACAACATGAGGAACTGTATTAAAGGGCTGCGGCATGAGGAAGGTTGAGACCCACTGCTTTAGTAGACTGTTTTTTTTAAGTGGGGGCTAAGACATGACCATTCCTCCTTTCTGGCAGAGTGATGTCTGATAGATGCTTTGATAACCACAGTCCAGTCCGCCCGTCAGAGCATCTGCTGAGTGAGACTGGACATGCCCTGACTAGGAGCCTCTCTTCTGGCTCTGGCAGCATTTCAGTAGCAGGGCAAAGGGGGTAATTACGAACTTGTTGGATCATTTGGAGGGGCTAGGATGTCGACTTGTGGATTTATAGTCGACTAAGAACATTATAGTCTATATATTCTACATATGCTGTAAGACTCACTACCAACGTCTAACTACCCTTGTGAGTTTCCGAAAGTGTAACTCTTTTTATGGGAGTAGAAATCCCCGTCTTTCTCCAGAGGAAAGGCTGGTGGTTTTGAACTATGGACCTTGGAGATCGCAGCCCAACATGTAACCACTGTGCCACCAGGGCTCCTTCAAAGTAGGATACTAGGACCTTGATAACAGCTCTTCCATCTCCCCCCAAAGTAATATCCACTAGCTTCATGTTCAATGGCCCTCTAGTACTCCCCAGCAGAACCCTTCTCTTCCAAAGAAATGTCAAAGGAAGGCCTAGATGCAATGCTATGGGTCCTATCTACAAAGCAAGACTCGGGAGGGTGAGGGTTTAACACACAAGGTTCCGTCCAACTGCACTTACTCATCAGAAACTTCAATAGATGACTTCTTATAGCCGGACTTGTTCCTCTTCTTCAGCCCCGTGGACTTCCTCCCCATTCTGACCAGCAGCAGCGCCACCACAACCGCGGAGGGAACGAAGACCAGAATGGAAAGAAGGGCCACAGAGGACAACATCATGCCGAAACCTAGGGAGGGACAAGGAGGGCATGAGAGGCGGCATGGCTGTGCTGGTATCCCTTGTGGCTACAAAAGAAACCAACTCATGGTGGAAAAGCGAGAAAACATACAAAAGCATAAAGAAGACTTTTAAATCACTCATAAAAGGTACCGCTTGGGGATCTACCTTTCAATCCTCCCCCAGGGATCTGTGGATGCTGGTGCGTTTGTGGTGGTGAGCTGTCTGTGGTTAGAAATATGGGTCCTCTTGCACATACTATTTTTAACCTACTTTTTTACTTGACATACAATAAATATTTTCCATGTTGTTCCAAATCCTTCGTGGCTTGATTTTTAATCACTGTGTAGTAAGTAGTCTACCATATTGAAGCATTTGTTTAATCAACCCTCTAATGCAGTGGTTCTCAACCTTCCTAATGCCTCTACCCTTTAATACAGTTCCTCATGTTGTGGTGAGGAGCAGCGTCTCGGCTCCCAAGACCATCGGCAATATGGTCTTAGGTGACCACTGTGAAAGGGTCCTTTGGCCCCCAAAGGGGTCATGACCCACAGGTTGAGAACCGCTGCTCTAATGCAAGATAATCAAGTTGTTTCCAACTTGTTGAATCTACAAATCATTTCACGCTGATGTAACGCTTTATGCTTATCTCTATTTCTGCCAAGTGAAATGTTTAAATGGAATTACCAGACCACAGGGTGTGTTCTTTTCAGGCTCCTGATGCACACCACCAAACTGCCCTCCAGAAATACTCTTGTTTCTATTTCCGCCACCACTGTGGGAGTGTGCCTAGGTCTTTGGAAGCTACGAGTTATTGTCATCAGCAAAGAAAGAATGCGGGGAGGCAGCGGGGAGAAGGAAGGAAGGAAAGAGACCTAAAGGAAAAAAGCATTTGAGAAATTGAAAGGCATTAACTATGCCCCACAACATCGTCCTGTATCTCGAAGTCTTTGTTCAAGTCCAACTAAGAACTAGAATGACCATCCCTTCATTGGTCCCCTAGGAATAATATGTGTGTGTGTGGGGTGGGGGGGGCTTGAATCTCCTCGCTTCCCGTCTCACAGAAAGGAACGTTGATGCCCTCTGTAGCATAACAAACTGTACTGCCTGTCCTCCAAGGGTGGCCTTTCAAGGCCTAGGTACCAACAGCCTCTCATGCCTGGGGGTTGTGAACACATTGGAGGAAGAGGGTGACTTTCCGTTTACACAGAGAAAAGCCCTCCATCAAATCGGGAGTTTTCCCGAAATCCCACAAGATCTATTGTTACTCAGAGCTAAAAACAAGGCAAGGGGGGACGGGGAAGCTAACAACATTTGAAGAGAAAATTTGGTTTGCAAAATAAAAGCAGAGTGTAAAGGCCTACTAAAAGTCACGTGAGGGTGGTAGAAATCTACTTGGACGCGATGCCCCCGGGACGCCGCAGGCCCGCAGAGCGCTCTGCTTCCTGTGATCTCGCCGCAGCAGTCACAGACACTGCAGAAGGAAGCTTGGTGGCAGCAGACTTACTCCTTTCTGTGACTGTTAGCTCTGTCGTGGGGATGTTGTGATGCACATCTGGGGGGTTCTTCACAGCACAGCTGAATGTCCCGTTGTCCCTCGTGGTGGGGTTGCTTATGCTAATGGAGGCATCCCCTTTGTACACATTTCCAACCCAGGAAATGCGATCCCGAAATCGGCCAGAGGTGGTTGGGTATGTGAAAGACTGATAATGAAAAATCTAAGAAAACAGCACAATAAGGGAAGCAAATGAATAGAAATGTAAAGCCAAGTAAATCGAACATAATACACAAAATAACACGTGCAACATTGGGCAAACTCTTTGACATGTTCAGCTCCATCCTATGAGTAAACAGACAGATCAATAAAACTGATCAGAAAAAGGCCTGCTGAGAGAAGGCTGGAATCCAGCCTTTCAACTTCTCCCTGACTTTCGCAAGCTGTGGCTGCTAGGTGCCCTTGAGCTACTTGAGACGTACAGGGACCCTGTGTCTAGCGGAACACAGCGGTCCTTGCCGTCCTCACACTACGTTTGAGCCGACTGCTGCAGTCACTGAGCCAACCCATCTACCTCAATGATGGGCTTCCTCTTTCTCTCTGGCCTTCTTTTCCCAAGCATGATGTCCTTCTCCTGGGACCAGCACCTCTCCATAACAAGCACAAAATGCACGAGAGGAAGTCACTCCGTCGCAGCTCAAAGGGAGCATTCTGGCTGTACTTCCTCCAATATGGAACGGTTCGTTCGGCTACCAGTCCATCACACTCAAAACTCCCTGCCATCAAGCCAATTCCAGCTCATAGCAACCGTATAGAACAAGGTTTCTGAGACTGTAAATAATTACAAGAAGAGAAAGTCTCATCTCTCTCCCTTTAAGCGACTGGAGGGTCCAAACTTCTGACCTTGGGGTTAGCAGCACAGTGTGTAACCAACTATGCCACGAGGGCTCCTTAGCAGTCCATAGCATAGTCAATACTCTTTGACGGCACCATAATTCACAAGCATCAGTTCTTTGATCTTCCTTATTCATTATCCGTCTTTCATTTGCATAGGAGGCAGCTGAACATATCATGGCTTGGGTCAGGCACACCTTAGTCTTCAAAGTGGCACCTTTGCTTCTTAACACTTTAAAGACATCTTTGGAAGCATACTTGTCCAATGCAAAATTTCCTTTGATTTCCTGACTACTGCTGCCATGACAGTGGACCCAAGTAGAATGAACCCCTAGATAACGTCAATCTTTACTCCCTTTATCGAGATGTTGCCTCCTGGTCTAGTGGGGAAGATTTTTGTTTTCTGAAGGCTGTAATCTTGGATCTTCATCGTTAAGTGCTTCAAGTCCTCTTTACTTTCAGCAAGCAAGTTTGTTCCATTGGCAAATCACAGGCTGTTAATGAGCCTTCCTCCAGTCCTGATCTGCCTTCTGCTTCGTGTTGTCCAATCCCTCACAAGCTCAGCAAACAGACGGAATAAGTGTGGTGAAAGGATACAGCCCTGACACACACATTTCCTGATTTCAAACCACACAGTGACCGCGTGTTCTGCACCAACGGCTGCCTCTTGATCTACGTACAGTTTACACATGAGTACAACTGGGTGTTTGAAATTTCCATTCTCTGTATTGTTGTCTATAATTTGTTATGATCTACATAGTCAAATGCCTTTGCATAGTCACTAAAACCAAAGTAAACATCTCTCTGGTATTCTTGGCTTTCAGGTAAGATCCAGCTGACATCCCCAGCGATAAGCTTCCTTCCACATCCTCTTCTGAACCCAGCTGGAGTTTCTGGTAGCTTATGGTTGGTGCACTATTGCAGCCACTTCTTTAATTATCTTCAGCAAAATTTTACGTGTGTGATGTTAATGATTTTGTCCAATAATTTCCATAGTCTGTGCTATGTAAGGCAGTGCTTCTCTGAGAAAAAATTTCCCCCTGGGAGACTTTTGGCAATATCTGTAGACACTATGGATTATCAGAACTGGGGAGAAGAGGGTTTGTTACTAAGATCTAGTGATTAGATGCCAAAGATATTACCAAGCCGCCACAATGGGCAGGGCAGCCCCCCACAACAAAGAATTATCCAGTACAAACTGTCAAAAGTGCCAAAGTTGAACACTCTGTTCTAAAGTAACATTGAATACGTGCATAGCACTTTGTAGTTTGCAAATGACTTCCACATACATCTATTTACTTGGTCCTAAGAATGATGCTGAAGCACACCAGCCTGTGTGATCACGAGGTGTCGAAGGGATCAGCTATCAGGCATCAAAGAACAAAAAATCAAATCATTGTGAATGAGGGGGAGTGCGGAGTGGAGACACAAAGCCCATCTATAGGTAACTGGACATCCTTTACAGAAGGGTCACGGGGAGGAGACAAGCCAGTCAGGGTGCAGTGTAGCAACAATGAAACATACAAGTTTTCTCTAGTTCCTAAATGCTTCCTCCCCACCACTATCATGATCCCAATTCTACCTTACAAATCCGGCTAGAAAGGAGGATGCACACTGGTACAGATAGGAACTGGAAACACAGGGAATCCAGGACGGATGATCCCTTCAGGACCAGTGGTGAGAGTGGCCATACTGGGAGGGTGGAGGGAGGGTGAGGTGGAAAGGGGGAACCAAACACAAGGATCTACATATAACCCCCTCCCTGGGGAACAGACAACAGAAAAGTGGGTGAAAGGAGATGTCAGACCGTGTACGGCATGACAAAACAATAATTTATAAATTATCAAGGGTTCATAAGAGAGGGGCTGTGGGGAGGGAGGGGAAAAAGCGAGGAGGTGATACCAAGGGCTCAAGTAGAAAGCTAATGTTTTGAGAATGATGATGGCAACAAATGTACAAATGTGCTTGACACAATGAATGTATGGATTGTGATAAGAGTTGTACGAGCCCCCAATAAAATGATTTTTTTAATGATGCTGAAATATGTGGGATAGGTATAATTATTCCAAATGTATGAAATGGCAAATAAGGAAAATAGATGAATAAACCCTGAGTTACTCAAAGCATATGACTAGCAAGTGACAAAGTGAAGACTTGGGTTTATTCTTAAAATCACTAACCAAAAAACCCCAAAACTCTCTGCCACTGAGTGGATTCCAACTCATAGCAACCCTGCATGGCAGAGCAGAACTGCCACGGTGGGGCCAGAGACTCTCTTCACGTCTTCTCTAAGGAGGAAGCTTCCTCGTTCTCCCTCAGAGGGACTGGTGCTTTGGAAAGGCTGACCTTGAGGTTAGCAGCCCAACGAGGGGGTATTAAATAATCCAGCCCCTCTCAAGCTATCGACCTTAGCAAATAACATCAACTACAGGTCAAATGCACGGTAAATTAACCGAACCAAACACACTATCATATGGACCCTCTGGGAGAGAGGAGAATTGTTCATTAGGGCTTCCAAGAATTGAGAGCCTTACCAAAACAGAAAACCCCATCTTTCTCCCACAGAGTGGATCGTGGATTTGAATTGCTAATTATTTCATGGTTAGCAGCCGGCCTTCCACCCACTGTGCCTCTGTAACCCATAGTAAGTACTCGATCAATTCACATTGAATTGAAATGCTGCCCTTCAGACTTGGTGCTTAGATACTTCATCCTAAAACTTCCAATGATGTCTGCAACTAGACCAGGCAGGTACTACCGACAACATATGACTCCGCTGTCTTACGCAAGCTCTGTGGCCTCCCTCTCTCTGTTTACTTAACTACTTCCCACTGGGATGCACAGGTTGACTGACAACCACTGACTTGCCCAATTTTGAAGAGCCAGTTTCTGGAGGAGATGCTGAATCATTTCGTTGATATGTCAGTTCAAGCATTCATTCAACAGATATGGACTGCACACCTTTGCATTTGCCGGGGACTGGGGTTAGCACGGAGCCCCTGGGTGGTGCCAACAGTTTGGCTGTTTGTCAAACATGCAAGGCTGCTAACCAAAATAGTGAAATTCACATCTTCAAGTGTGAGCTAACTGCTTCATCTGACAGAACCCTGACTGGCTGCATAACCGTGAGGTCCTTGGATTCTGACGTGCGGGGCGATGGGTTACTCTGTTCACAGGGCCCTGCTGGCCTCGGGTGTGTAGTTCTAATAGGGTGATTTGCTAGGCCAAAACTTGCAAAGAGATTGGACAGTTGACCAGGTAAATCAAGTACCTAAAACCTGTTTGGGAATTCGTTGATGACTATGTGCACTCAATGACTTGGCCCACTTTGGGATTGGTGGGTTTTGCCATCCTGCTAACCTTCAAAGAGCTAATCCCACGGGGACTGCAGAGTAAATCACTATTATCAACAGGAAGAGCCTGGAGCAGGGCCCAGCACTGAGAACCTCCTAGTCCGGTAAGTCGGTGTGGAGCTGGCACTAGACGGTGAGAAGCAATAGCTGCTGATGTAGCAGCAGTCCAAAAGGTAGCAACATGAGACCCCGGGAATCAGGAGACCAGCATGGGGCCGCTGCAGTGGGCTCCCAAGCCCACTTGGAGGGAGAGAACTAAGCACCTCGGGCCAAAGGCATCCTGGTAGAGCAGAGTGCTTCCAGGCTGGAGCGGAGCAGAGGCCAGACAGAGCTGAGTCCAGCAGCAGAGACCCAAGCACATTAGTTGTCTCACAGGCTCCCACAGCCAAGAAGGGACAGAGCTGCCTATTTGTCAGCCATCCTGACTGGTGACCTGTGTCCTGTCTCCTCAAGCTGGTCCTGACCCCAATTTGCAGCCTCCTTAACAAGCCACATAATCAGCCGGTGTCGAGGCAGCGAGGGGGTTTGGGAGGGGAAGCGCCTCTGACCTCCTCCTCCTCCTCCTCCTCCTCCTAAGAATCCACTCTGGGCTGCAGCTGCTGATCTGGATTCTCAGCTCTTCTGAAGTGAGGTGGCTGATGCCACGGTGTCCCAGGGCGTGCGCGTCACGATTTTGAGGCCAGCTGGATAGAGGAACAGCGTGTACGAGAACTGTTTTTTGCGTTTAAGGCGTCTGATCCAGGTGCTTCCCCCACGGCTTGCTCTGCCCTACTTTTGACCAAGGAAGCAAAGCCAAATAAGGGCAGCCAGAGTTTCCACTCAGAGTAAAGAAGACTCTGGGGAACTATTTCAAGTCCCCAGAAAACCAGGCCAGGGACACAACCTGGCTTCCTCCCTGGGAGTCACCGGCCGACCTCCAGAGCAAAGTGGCAGTGAATGATGACGCCTCAAGCAAATGCAAAGCCCGTGCACTAAAGTCCAAGAGGCAGCTTTGTCCACGCAGACGGCCAGGTAAATGGAGAAAGGATACTTTCAACAAGGGACAGGCAGCCAGCACGGTCACGTTCTGATCGCCCGTATCCTGAGCTGGCTCTGCTGACAGCACAGGGCAGGGGCTGTGTCCGGCCGAGGGGTGTCGCTGAGATCACCGACAATGGGTTTGAGCTGTAAATATGCTTCCTACAGGCGACTAAAGTGCATTGTGCTTCTGATGGACCCTCTGTCGCCAGCAATGGTCGGAGAGGTGCCACCGTTTCCTTCCAAGGGAACCATACGAATCAGTGCAGATGTTTACACTCTGGAGACACACCCGAGGTCAGTCCACAGAGCAGACACACCGACAGATACACCCACATGACAGGACTTGCCCAGGGCCAGAAAGGAGCCACTGTCAAAGAAAGGAAGTCGTCTGTGATTGGGACCAACTTTCCTACCCCACAGACCGGGAGGTGCCGGCCCTTCTCAGGGACCTTCTTAGGGGCCTGAATCTGAAACTGAAGCTATGGAAGCCCCTAACGAGAAACGGCAAAGGGGAAACAAGAGAAACCACTTCCTCCGTGCTGCCGACAGGTTAGGGTTTGGTTGGGTTTGGTTTTGCTTTGCTTTTTCCTTCCTGTAACTTGCTTGTCAGGTTCTTACAAGGAAGGACGAAAGAGAAGAAGAAAAGAAAAGAAAGAAAGAAGCCTTTCATGGCCACATAGTCACCATAAAGGGTAGGAATTCATCTCCCTCCTTGTAAACAGTGGTACAGCTTATATTTACCCTGCGATGAGAAGGCCCGTGGAGCCTGAGTGGCTTGTGGTTCCCCAGTTGTGGACCACAGAAGACTCAAAATTGGGCAAGTCAAAAGTCAATACTTACTGATTCCATGCGACTGCCGCTGGCCGGCCGATACGTCCAGTCGATGGTGAGTTTGTCGGTGACTTCTGCAGTTGACCTGAAGCTGCATTTCAACCGGATCTTTTCTCCCACATAACCTCGGACATGGGCATCTGCTTTAATCTCCAAGGAACGGGCTACGGAAAGACCTGATCAAAGCAAGCCCAAACATTGAGAATGTACTCATGTGGGTAGTACAGATGCGAGTGAGCGAAATAGACATGGTCCTAGTCCATGTCATTTTGCGGGGAATCTCATCAAAAAGCTCAGCCACCAGAAGATTCTTGGCCATACCCACAAGGGACCAGAAGCAGACATCTGCACTAATCAATGATGGTACTTTTATCATTCTGTAGTCTGAAATCATAGGATGCTAATTTGGGTCAGAGTCTGGAGCCCCAGGGGCATCGGGCTGTGATACGCATGGTCGGCAGTTTGAAACCACCAGCAGTTCCTCGGGAGAAAGACTGGGCTTTCTACTCCCCTAAACATTGATGGTCTCGGCAACCCACAGGGGTGCTCTGAGTCAGCACTGACGCCATGGCAGGGAGTGAGGTGGCCACACCAGCATTTTCCCAGAGTCCGGCCTCTAGTAAAACTAAGTACAAACAAGTTTGTCTGCCTTCACTCATCTAAAAGCCCCCTCCCCTTGTTCCCACCCATCAATTCGGGAAACAGAGCAGCTTTGATGGTCTAAAGGCTTCCCCTACGAGCCGCGTAAGTGTCACCAGAAGCTGCCGTGGCCCCAACTACCAGGAAAATGGGAAATAACCAGAGGACCCGATTTTCAGAGAACTGTATAAAATTGTTCCAAGAAGTGCCTATCTCGCTCCACCACCCCACCCCGCACCCCCATCTTAAAGTGGTTAGTGAACCCCACCTCAATGAAAAGGGCAATCTTGAGGAGGAAAACAGAACAACTGAATGTGTTCTGCCACGTGATAAAGAAGGGCTCGTGTTTAAACCCTAGAGGTGTACTCCTTCCGCAACCATCTCCTGTGAGAGTAAGTACAAAAGGATTGCTAGGAGGGCCCCAGTTCACGCGTGCGTGTAGTCCAAGCAAAGCGTGTTTGAGTGTGTCCCTGCGATCCATGGGCGGCTGCAGCCAAGTTCTCTCAGCAGTACACCTCACTCAGTCTCCCGAAAAAGGTCCAATCAAAACAGCAATCTCGCCCAGGGCCTGCTAGGCAGTGAAATTCAAGGTAGAGGGCTCAACTCTGAAGGGGATCTGAACATGATCTTGACATGTTTTCTAGAAAGACACAGGACAACCTGGGGGTTATTAAGAAGTTTCAAGAAAACCAAAAACTGTGTTGGTGAGGGGAGAGGGGGAAAGCCCGAAAGCTTCACTGAGGATCCCCCACCCCCCGCCCAGTCCCCCTCCACCACCAGGACAATACGCCTGTTCCCCTCTCTCAGAGCGCACAGGCCTTCCTGAGAGGATTCCACTGGGAAATCTGACCCCGTCCGTCCTCAGCCCTGCTCTTGCCCCTTCAGACTTCTTTTTCTCCCTAAACTCAAAGAGCTTGGAAAGGAACTCAGCAGGAGTCCCTCCAGGATGCCCGAATTGCCATTGTGAAGGGGTCTCACGGAAGAGTGTAGAATTCTTTGGAGAAGGGGCTGGAGGGATGGAAACGGGCTTCAGAAGTGTACAGACCTAGATGGAGGATGTGTAGAGAAACAATAGCTTCACATTTTGATTGAGAACCCAAACTCCTAACCAGGAGGTCTGGGTTCAAATTCCAGCCTTACCACACTAGCTGGCTCTGTGACTTCAGGAGTTCCTTATTTCTGTCTGGTCTGGTTACACACACACACACACACACACACACACACACACACCCATGGGGACAACAGTAATAGCACTTACTTCAGAAGTTGCTGTGAGGATTGAATGAATTAAAATATGTACAGCCATGAGAGCCTCCCTGGCCCAGTACTAAGTGCTATTATTAGTTTCTTCATCCCTGCTGCTTCCTCTTCAGTTCTGCCCACATGCCCCACCTTCTCTACTGAGCAAGTGATGAGTCATCAGTTCCACTGCCTCGTTCTCCGCCTGCTTGTTCTCCTCTCTAGACAATCTGTCTGTTCACATGCTTTTCAAAAGGAAGACGCGAAGACTGAGCTCACCACTCTAAAACGTTTGACCCATCCCAACGGTGAGGATGAGTGCTCATTCTTCCATGGTATCCTCTGTCATGTCATGCTTCTGTGCCTTTGAAAATACTGTTGGAAGGGCCGTTGTCCCCCAAAGCCCTCGATTTGGTGCCATCAACCTGAAGCAATCTTGACTCATCATTCAAGATCCCGACTTAGAAACTGGAAGATGAAAATGAGTGAATGATCTACCCTCTTTCACATCTCCTTCCCTTATCAACACGTTGTTATTGTTGCTTGCTGTTGTGTCCACTCTAACTCAGAGTAGCCTCATGTTTAAGCTAAACTGTTGCCCATTGCTATACAGTCTTCATGATCACGGATTCAGCAACAAGGTCAGTGCAGCAAACCAGGGCCTTCACGTTTTCCGACCTTCCACTTTACCAACCGTGATGTAACTGGTCTTTCCTGATGGTCTGTCCCAAGCAAGTGAGCCAAAGTCTCGCTACCCTCAAAAATAATAATAGCCTTTCCTTGACCCTACAACTCTATTCCAGCTCCAACTACTGCCCTTTTCCCTAAGTCACGCTTTTGTGAACGCGCCATCTGCAACTGCCCTTGCTTTCTAAATCCAATGCGATCTGATGTCACCATTCCCAGGAAGGGGCATCATATGTCTTTACCCTGTCGACCCCAATAGGTGAAAATTCTAAGAGGCATGCCTCTGGTCTTGTCTGTGACTAGTTATTTGCCCCTTGAGCTTCTCTAGCCAAGAGCTTTCATGACAATGCTCTCAGTCATTCACTCATTCTTCAAACACATGTTTTTTAAGCATCTGTTTTGTGTCATCCTCTAGACTTTGGATTATATGAAAAAGTAATACAAGCTTGTCTTAGAGCTTAAAACACAATGGAAGCTTCAGACGGTAAATAATCGTGAAGTAACTGTGTTGCTGCAAGTTCTGATTAGTGCTAGGAAGGAAAGTCAAAGTGGTTACAAGACTTTAACTTGTTGGTGGTGTGGAATGGGCAGTGTTTAGTAAAAGTTTCCCTAAAAAAAGGGACTTTTGAGCTGGGATATGAAGAAAAGTAACAAGGTGAGATGAGGGAATGCAGTGCAGGTGAAGGAAAGAGCATCTGCAAAGGTCCTGTGCCCGGAGGAAGCGCAGTCAGTCAAGGAACTGAAAGGAAGACGATATGACTGTAACCCAGAGCATGGGGGAGTAGATAAGATGTGGCTGGGAGGTAGATAGGAGACTGATCATGTAGGTCTTTAACCATGTGAGTACATGTCCCTAGGGTAAAGCGATGTCTTGGAAGATACTTTACATGTGGGACTGAGAGAGAAGCGATGTGATGGAATTTGCAATTTTAAAAGGCCACTCCAGTGAAGACACTTAAGCATAGTCAATAGTTCCTCAGGGAGGATTACCTAGTCAGCTACTACCGCAGTCAGGTGAGTCGGGGGTGGTGGATATGGAGAGACCTAGGCAGACAACAACACTTCCCAGGCAAAATCAACAAGAATTGGTGATCGTTTGGCTGTGGAAGGCTAGGGGAAAGGAAGTAGCAGGTCACTCCCAGGTTTCTGATTTGGCAATCACACCCACCAAGACAGGGAAGACCAGAAAAGTATTAGGTTTGGCAAGGAAGAACATAAGTTGGATTCTGGATGAGTCCTAAAGTTGCTTTGAAGAAGTCCTGGTGACACAGTGGTTAAAGTGCTCAGCTGGCCAGCAGTTCAAACTTGCCAGTCAGTCTGCTGGAGAAAGATAAGTCAGTCTGCTTCCATAAAGATTTACACCCTTTGGGAACCTTATCAGAAAGTGCTGCTCTGTCCTTTAGAATTGCTAGGAGTCAGCACTGACCCCACGGCGGTGGGGTTTTAGTTCTGGTAGATACCTTTGCGATGCCCTTGGGATAATGTCACATGGGCAATTGGTTTAGGGCAGGGATTGGAAAAATACTGGCCAAACTCCACCCATAACATCTTTGTATAAATAAAGTTTTATTTGACCACACCCACTTACTCACTGCCATTGAGTTGATTCCAACTCATAGTGACCTGGTAGGACAGAGTAGAACAGCCCTCATGGGTTTCCAAGACTGGAACTTTTTACAGGAGTAGAACGCCTCATCTTTCTCCCACTGAGCGGCTGGTGGATTTAAACTGCTGACCTTACGGTTAGACGTCCAACATGTAACTCACAATTCCCTCCAGGGCTGCTTTATTAGAACACAATCACACATATTCCTTTATATATTGTGTACAGCTGCTTCTGCTCTGCTTTAGCAGAACCGCGTGGTTGTGGCCAACTGTGTAGCCCACAAAGCCTGAAACACTTGCACTCTAGCCTCTTATGGGAAATGTTGCTGGCCGCTGGCTTAGAGCAGAGAAGAGATATGGGCTAGAGTTAGAAACCAGTCTCACTAGTCTCCCACCTACCAATCAACTCGCCACATCATTGGCCAGCACACGCACCTGACAGTTCCTTCCCAATCCCTAAGGCTCTCTCTTTCCAAACACCTTAAACATTGATGTTCCTTAGAATTCTGCTCTCAGTGGTTCTTATTCAATATGTTCTCCTTGGACAATCCTGTCCATTTTTATAAATTTAATAGCCACTAACATGCTAATCATATCCCTGGTGGCACAGTGGCTAAAATGCTCAGCTGCTAACCAAATGGTCAGTGGTTCAAACTCACCAACCACCCCATGGGAGAAAGACGTAGCGTAGCAGTCTGCTTCTGTAGGGATTATAGCCTTCGAAACCCTATGGGCAATTCTGCTCTGTCCTACAGGGTTGCTCTAAAATGGAACCAACCCAAGAGCAACAGGTGTCACTTATTAATGGCATTGGTAACATGATCTCTGAGCAATCAAAGAAGGTAGGACTGCCCCTGTGGATTTCCAAGGCTGTAACCCTTTGCTAGAAAAGAATTTCATCTTTCTCCCAGGGAGCAGAGGGTGGTTTTGAACTGCTAACCTTTTCATTAGCAGCCCAACACATAACCTACGATGCCACTCCAATCCAAAACAATCCCACTGCTATCAAGTTGATTCTGACTCATAGTAATCCTATAGGACAGGGTAGAACTGGCCCTGTAGGTTTCCAAGGCTATGATTCTTTACAGGAGTAGAAAGCCTCATCTTTCTCCCATGGAGCACCTGGTGGTTTCAAAGTGCTGACCTTGC